GTGATCCTCCCACCTGGTATCATTTTAAAGGTGTCATTTTAAAGAGATAATAATGGTTCCTCCTCCTGAGGTGATGTAAGGATTAAATGAGTTAATAACATGCAAAGCCACTTGCAAGCAGCCCCCACCATGTGCAATAGTCCTGCGTAAATGCCAGCTTTTGTTGTTTATTCAAGACCCCCCCACTCTTCCTCCCTTGACACTTGAGTCGTATGTGGTTGTGCAAAATATCTTAGTCCCATCCCCTGCTGATGGACATGAGATCAGTTCCGATATTTGGTGATCACAAATAGCACTGCGCTGAATAACCGTGGCTTGTCTGTGGCCAGCCCCTCCACTCACTCCTTAAGGTATGTGACCCCATATAACCTGGCCTAGGACTTTCCTTCCTGAGCCTGCAGAGCGAGGAGAGATGTGTGGGCATGCGGCCAGCTCTGCCGGCATGCAGACAGGCCTGTGGGGTGGGGCGGGAGGTGGGGGCAGGCCCTCCCTGAGCCAGGTGGGACAGATTCCTACTGTGTCCTGCTGGTGAGTGAGGAGCTATGGGGTGAGTGTCAGAGGGTTGGGGCAAGGTCACCCAGCCCCCATGTTCCTGGCAAATGCCCTTATGTGATCTGGAGAGAGGAAACCTGTTCTGTGCCATGTGGGCTCTGCCCATTTTTTTGTAATCCTGTTCCTCTAGGAAGCCCGCTGGGATCTCTGCTCCAACACACTTTGCTATATTGGCCACTGGTTTAGCACCCATAGTGATTGGTTCTCTTCTTGCGGAGCAAAACCCATGATGATTGAGAAAATGAGTTCTGGAGTCAGGAGGCTGATTTTGGTCCCAACTTCCCAGCACCTCCAGCCTTGTAACTCCTGTGGCTCTGTGTCCTCATCTCAAAGCAGACTAAGAAGACGAATAATAAGGCCAGGCATGGTGGCTCATGCCTGTAATCCCAGCACTTTGGGAGGTCGGGACGGGTGCATCACTTGAGGTTAGGAGTTAGAGAGTTCGAGACCAGCCTGGCCAACATGGTAAAACCCCATCTCGACTAAAAATACAAAATTTAGCTGGGCATGGTGGCACGTGCCTGTAATTCCAGGTACTCGAGAGGCTAAGCCGGAGAATCGCTTGAACCTGGGAGGCGGAGGTTGCAGCGAGCTGAGATCGCGCCATTGCACTCCATCCTGGGTGACAGAGTGAGGCTCCATCTCAAAAAATAAATTAAAGAAAACAAGAAAAGAATAATAGTAATGGCAACAAATTCACGGGAAGGTCTTGTGTGGTCTCAGAGACATAATGCAAATGGGGTTAGACCCTGTGTCTGGCACAAGAAATATAAGCTGGTGTGAGAAAATGACCCATCTATGGGAATGCCTGGGCCACAGGCAGTTGCAGCCACCTCTGAAGGGAATTAGGCCGAATTCCCAGGAACTCGGCAAATTATCCACCCTCAGAACTGAGTTTTCTCTAGAAAATGAGGGTGCTAATGATATGTATCCCACGGGTTTGATGTGAGAATTAAATGAGACCAAGCACATATTGCTTTGCGTTTACACTGTGGTCTTGTTGATATTATTAGTTATCCGTGTTGATAGTTGTGAGCATCCTTCCAGACACTGGCACGATGTGGTGCATGCAGCTGGTGCTTAGTGACTGCAGATGGATTGACGGACAGGGCCAAGTGTGAAGTAGAATCTGGGCTGGGTGTGGGTGGCTCGTACCTGTAATCCTAGCACTTTGGGAGACTGAGGCAGGAGGATTGCTTGAGCCCAGGAGTTTGAAACCAGCCTGAGTTTGAAACCAGCCTGGGTATAAGCAAGAGCTCTACTAAAAAAAAAAAAAAAAAAAAAAAGGTAGATTCTGGAGGAGGCACTGATAGAGGGTGCAGCCCTTAGGGAGAATAAAGGGAAAAAGCCTGATGTGACCTCACCTGTGGGTTTTTTGTTTTGTTTTGAGACAGAGTATTGCTCTGTGGCCCAGGCTAGAGTACAGTGGCATGATCACGGCTCACTGCAGCCTTGACCTCCTGGGCTCAAGTGATCCTCCTACCTCAGCCTCCAGAGTAGCTGAGACCACAGGCGTGCACCACCATGTCCGGCTAATTTTTATATTTTTAGTAGAGATGGGGTCTCGCTGTGTTGCCCAGGATGGCCTTGAACTCTTGGGCTCAAGTGAACCTCCTGCCTTAACCTCCCAAAGTTCTGGGATTACAGGCATGAGCCCCCACACCCAGCCCTAACCTGTGGTTTTATAGTCAGCTACAGCTTAATTCTGGGAGATGATGGGCCTTATCCCACACACCATGGCAAGGACGTGACACAGCAGGAGGCAGACCCACTTCCCCTGACTCTCAGGGCAGCAACCTTCACCCTGACCTTCAGCCCCATGCAGGAAGCAGCCCGTGGGGGCGAGATACAGTGTCCATCTGTGGCCAGAGCCCTTGCACATTTTTGACATTTTTGCATCTTGGGACAAAAGGCGAAGAAACTCAGATGAACTGGTTCTTGTTTCCTGGTGGAAAAACATTCCTGCTCTGATGGAATCTTCGCTGTTGTGTGGTTTTGCCTGTGTTTGTGTCTCTCCCTCACTACCCTACAGTTCAGCAGTAGCTATTCTAGAAAACTCATAGAGGGTAGATCCAGGAATGATTTCTGGGATTGTCTGAGGATATTTAAGGGGCCAGAGGGCTCCCTGCACCACTGATGCTGGCCCTGGATCTCCTGCCCCTTCTGCCATTGGACTTGCCCTGAATGAGTGAACAAGTGAAAGAGCAGACATTTGCTAGACAGCTGCTGCCCTCCAGGCACTGATGTGCTGGTGTTCCACTGTCTGGGGGCTGAGAGCCACTCAAAGCATTCATATTGGGAAGTTGGCAGGGATGGTCTGGTCAACAGCATGGGCGTTGGCATTGGAGTCAGATGAACCTGCCTTTGTCAGTCCCTAAATAGGGTGGCCTTGGACACACCTGCCTGAACCTGTTTCCTCAACTGCAAAATGTGAATACAGATAGCACAGTGTGGTCGGTGAGGACTGAGCAAGGAAGTGGCTCTAGCACTTGGCACAGAGTTGGCCCTTAAAAGCAGGCTTTAGACCAGGTAGACCAAATTGAAATCTAGATCCAGCTGTGAGTCCCTTAACTTCTCTGAGTCTTTTTTTTTTTTTTTTTTTCTGAGGCGGAGTCTCGCTCTGTTGCCCAGGTTGGAGTGCAGTGGCCAGATCTCAGCTCACTGCAAGCTCTGCCTCCCAGGTTCACGCCATTCTCCTGCTACAGGCTCCCGCCACCTCGCCTGGCTAGTTTTTTGTATTTTTTAGTGGAGACGGGGTTTCACTGTGTTAGCCAGGATGGTCTCGATCTCCTGACCTCGTGATCCACCCGTCTTGGCCTCCCAAAGTGCTGGGATTACAGGCTTGAGCCACCGCGCCCGGCCAACTTCTCTGAGTCTTGATCACTCCCTCTGTAAAATGGTATAGTAATAGTGGTGGTTTCCTCTTACAGTTGTTGTGAGGATTTAGGTGAATTCACACATATGATGCATTTATAATGCAGGGAACCTAGTGCATAGCAACCACCTGCATTAGCTGCCTAGGACTGCTGTAATGAAGCACCTCCAACTGGGTGGCTTCAAACAACAGAAGCTTGTTCTCTCACAGTTCTGGATGCTAGAAGTTTGAAATCAGGGTGTGGGCAGGGCCACTTTCCCTCTGAAGACTCTAAGGAAGAATTCTTTCTTGCGTCTTAGCTTCTGCTGGTGGTCAGGGATGCTTGTTGCTCCTCAGCTTGTAGCTGCACCATCTTTACCCACCACTTCCTGTGTGTCCCGGCTTTTTTCAGACAGGATCTCACTCTGTTGCTCAAGGTGGAGTGCAGTGGCCTGATCATAGTTCACTGCAGCCTCAAACTCCCAGGCTCAAGCAATCCTCCCACCGTGGCTGGCTAATTAAAAAAAAATTTTTTTTAATTTAATTTAATTTATTATTTATTTATTTTTTAATAGAGATGGGGTCTTGCTATGTTGCCCAGGCTGGTCTTGAACGCCTGGCCTCAAGCGATCCTCCTGCCTCAACCTCCCAAAGTGCTAGGATTATAGGTGCAAGCCACTGCACCTGGCTTTTAGTTTCTTTTTTAGAGACTGGATGGGTCTCAGTATGTTGTCCAGGCTGATCTTGAACTTCTGGGCTCAAGCCATCTCCCTGTCTCAGCCTCCTAAACCACTGGGATTACAAGTGTGAGCCACTGTGCCCAGCCCCTATCCTCTTCTAATAAGGACACCAGTCATTAGACTTAGGGCCTACCCTAATCTAGTATGACCTCATCTTAACTGCTTAGATTTGCAAAGACCCTATTTCCACAAATGGTCACATTCTGTGTCTCTGGGTGGACTTGAATTTTGGGGGAACACTGTTCAACTCACACCACCACCTAATCAATAGTAGCTATTATGAACACTCCTCTTACGACAGAATTTGCTCAATGCACACTATGTGCTGGGCACTCCTCCAAACTCCTTTTATTCCTCTTCCCATTTAATCCTCTCCGTGGCTCTGTGAAGTAGGTACCAGGATTATCTCTGTCGAGGGCCAGAGAGGTGAGCTGATTTGCCCAAGGTCACACATGTTAGCAAATGGTAAATCTGGGGTTGGGACTCTTTTCTCTGTGACTCCAAAGCTGGCAAGGTTGTGAGACCCTCCAATCCCGTCCCAAGAGCTTAGAGTCGGCTGCACATTCTATCCCGGAATCCCAGGCATCAGAGATATGCTCTTTCCTGGCCCACACCTCCTTCCAGACACATCTTCCCCAGATAGGCCATAAAAAGTGAGGGGAAAGGAATCTTGTCTTTATAATGGCCAACATGGAGTTCTGCTCCTGCCTTGGACCGCTCGTGGCCGGCTCTCCCGTGGGTCGAAAGCGGTGTGACTCCCATGCATGGCAGAGCTTGCCAGGAGTGTATACTTCATGCCTGACATCTGGTAACATTTTGGGAGTCTTGACTTGGGGCTACAAATGGAAAAATGGTTCATGAAGGTGTGATTTATTCATCATCAAGATAATGCTATTAAATAAATGCTCACAACGATTCACTCCATCGGGTCAGGGAGCCCTGACTTCCCGGGCCAGGCCTGGCGAAGGCCCTGGCAGGGCAAGGCTGTTTCTTTGATGCTGAGGAGAGGGTGGAGGCGTGGTGAGGCCGGACTGGGGCCTGATGGAGGCAAACAGTCACGCTGCCGGATGATGAATGGCAGTTTACATTTTAACATGCCTGTGTCTTGGACGTGGAGTAACTGGCTTTGGCTGATCGGGGGTGGGTGCAGTTAGGAGCCTCTCACAGCCATGAGCTGGAGAAGAAAGGAAGGTCATTTCCAGAGACTGGGGCTTTGGGGCCAGGAAATAGTTGCTCTGTCAGCAGGGAGAGCCAGTGGGTGGGTTGGAGGCCCCTGAGAGAGATCAGGGGCTCCTGAAGGGCAAAGCCAGGCTGCCCACCTTTGCAGGTGTGTCCACCTTAGCTGGCAAGGGTGTCAGAACTAGCCACATGGCAGAGAGCAGTGCCCCAAAGCCAGGCTGCCTGGGTTCAAATCCTGCCTCCCTCACTGACCAGCTGGGCCTGGGACAGTCCCTCCCTAACATAGGGACCATTACAGGGCCCACCTCAGAGGCATCTGTGGGCATCGCAGGGGCACATGGCACCTAAGGGTCTTCACTAAGTGTTAACTGCAGTTGTCACGGTGGTGATGGTATCTAGAGAAGAGTGGAGGCTGGGATGCAGAGAGAAGCAGCCCTGCTGTCTTCTGGCTGTAGATCAAGGACAAGAGTTACCTTGCCTTCTATACAGCAAGTAGGAGCCTTCTCCTGGACCTGCCTCAGGGCAGTGGGGACATCCACCGGTCCGGCTCTCAGCACATTCAATGCTGGGGTTGGTTACCACCCAGCTTGGACAGCCCACATAAGCAGCATCACTGGGCTTACCTCCAAATCTCTATGCACTACTGGTGAGTTGCCATGGGCTGGCAAGCAGTCCCCGCACCTGTGGACATCGAGGATCTGTCTTCACATCCCCTTCTGCCCACATGGCTCTAGACCAGGAGGAGACGGGAGGACAGGTGTGCACCTCTATGGGCAGCCAAGCCTGGGGTGGTGGGTGGGGAAGGTGTCAAGTCTGATGCATGTCTGTTAGGGTTCCGGGCACTGTGACGTGCATCCAGGTGGGAAGTCCATTCTCCTAACTTGGAGTCTGGCATCTGTTACAGCATGAGAGCTGGGACCTGACCCTTCCCCCTGTGTCCTTGTTACCTCCAGGACTGGCCACTGACAGAGCTGTGGTCAGGCTGTGGGACTCGGGCCAGCTGGTCGCAGCCTTCCCACAAGAGTCAGTTACTGGGGCTATCAGATGCTGTAGCTGTTGGTTTGTTTGTCTCTGTGGTGCCAAACTGGGCCAGCTTTTAGGCAAGAGCAACTTCATGGGGAACATAATCAACGAGAAAAGGATGGCAGAATGTGGCCTGGGGGTTGCCCAGTGGAGGGCAGAGGGTGCTAGGTTGCCTGGCCATGACGCCTCTTCAGTACTGAGCTCAGCAGGGGGCTCCAACCCCTTTTACTGCAGGACTCTGCTGGCTTCTGACCAGAGGTAGCTCTAAGCACACTGGTCCTTTGGAGCCTCAGGAGGAACTGACTAGGGTAAAGAGGATGGAGGTAGGGCTTCACCTTGGAGAGCGGCTTTCCTAGGGGGACAGCCAAGTGCTTGGCCTTGTGACAGCTGCTCAGTGAGGGTTATTCACAGCCCCATTGGGACTTGCTGATTGGGCTTCACTTCCTGATTCTGTGATATTCACATGGCTCCAGTTAGTAGTTCCATCCATCCATCCATCCATCCAGTCAGTCGCCCACCCACCCACCTACCCATCCGTCCATCCACCCACCCATCCACCTAATCATCTACTCATCCACCTATCCATCCATCCATCCATCCATCCATCCATCCATCCATCCATCCATCCATCTTTTCTTCCTTCCACCCATCCATCTATCCATCCACCAATTTACCCACCCACACACTCACTCATTCATCCATCCACCCATCCATCCATCCATCTGTCCATCCATCCATCCATCCATCCATCCATCCATCCATCCACCCACCCACCCATTCATTCACCCACCCATTCATCTATTCACCCACCCAACTATCCTTCCATCCATCTATCCATGTACCCATCTACCCATCTACCCATCCATTCATTTTCGTGATCCTCACAGTTAGTCTGTATGTTGGGGATGTGCTATTATGCCCATTTTCAGATGAGGGTATGCACACACAGATTAAGAACTGGTCTGAGGGCAGAGCTAATGAGTGACTGTATTAGTTATCTATTGCTATTAGTTATCTATCTATTAGTGGCTGGAGACTGATTTCAGTTCTTTTCTATGTGGGTATCTCCAGCATGGCAGCTTGCTGTGTCAAAGCAAGAAAGCCAAGAAGTGTGTGTGTGTGTGTGTGTGTGTGTGTGTACGCTCACATGAGAGAGAGGGAGAAAGAGAGAGAGGTGGAAGTCACTGTCTTTTATAACCTAATCTCGGAGGTGACATCCCATCCCTTTTGCCATATTCTGCTCATTAGAAGTGTCCACTCATGGCCAGGCACGGTGGTTCATGCCTGTAATCTGAGCACTGTGGGAGGCTGAGGCAGGTGGATCACTTGAGGTCAGGAGTTTGAGACCAGCCTGGCCAACACGGTGAAACCCTAAACAACTAAAATACAACTAAACATGACCCTAAACAACTAAAATAAACCCTAGACAACTAAAAACACAAAAATTAGCCAGGCCTGGTGGTGCACGCCTTTAGTCCCAGCTACTCGGGAGGCTGAGGCAGGAGAATCACTTGAAGCCAGGAGGTGGAGGTTGCAGCGAGCAGAGATCACACCACTGCACTCCAGCCTGGGTGTCAGGGTAAGACTCTGTCTCAAAATAAATCAAATAAATAAATAAATAAATAAATAAATAACAGAAGTGTCCACCCAGGAGGTGGGATCACTGGGGGCCATGCTAGAAACTGCCCACCACAAGGCCAAGCCAAAGTTTGAACCCAGTCGGATCTGACTTAAAACCTGTCCTCCCGGAGGAAGCCAGCTACAGAGCCTAGTTCTTCCCCAGTCCCAGAGACCAGCCACCTGTCTGCTGCCACGCAGGGTTGGAATTTAATCACACATTAGCCTCACTTCATGGGTGTTTACTGAGCGCCTACTATGTGCCAGACACAGTGCTCCACAGGATGGTGCGGTGCCTGCCCAGGGAGTGCACTGCTGGTGACAGATACCCGAGCTGTACATTTACTCACCTGCCACGTGGGTCTGCAGAGAACATGTCTTTCTTTATTTCCTGCAACTGATCTGATATTTCTCACAAAGCCTACTCATAGGGCAACAAGGAAAAAAACTAGATTTAATTTAATCTGATCCAGTACTTTAGAGGCCTTTGGTAATGCTTGGTCTCAAATTTCCTTCTGCTCCTCCCGGCTTTTCTCTAAGCTGGCACTGGGTGGCTGGGGGTGGGGGTGTCCGGTTGTGGATGACGAGACTTCCCAGGAGGAGAGGGGTTTGGGTTTCCAGCCATGTCTGATGCCCAGGATTGCTGTTTGACTTTCTGGCATTTTGGCCGAAACCAGCAGCTGGTAAAACTCATGCTCTGGGCCTAGGCCTGCCTGGCTGACTTGGCCCTACCTTGGCTCAGAGCTCCCTCTTCTTCTCTTTTTTTTTTTTTCTTTTGAGACGGAGTTTCTGCTCTTGTTGCCCAGGCTGGAGCGCAATGGTGCGATCTCGGCTCACTGCAACCTCTGCCTCCCGGGTTCAAGTGATTCTCTTGCCTCAGCCTCCTGACTAGCTGGGATTACAGGTGCCCGCCACCATGCCTGGCTAATTTTTGTATTTTTAGTAGAGATGGGGTTTTGCCACGTTGGTCAGGCTGGTCTCCAACTCCTGACCTCAGGTGATCCACCTGCCTTGGCCTCCCAAAGTACTGGGATTACAGCCTTTTTTTTTTTCCAGAGCATTTCTGAATCTACTCTCTACTGCATCTGACCCTTACCTGGACCATCTACTCCCAGACCCTTCTGCAGGTCCCTCTGCCCCTCACCTTAATGAGGTGTCACCTACTGAGCAAGAACGCATTGAGCCCATCCTGGCCCAGAGAGGACCCAGTGCAGCCAAGGAAAGCGACACACCAGAGCTTCCTTCCTTTCCACTTGCTGCACCTCCAGAGGCCCCACCCCTAAGCTGCTGGAGGGTGGTCTCAGAACACTTTCCTCCCAAGCCCCCAGAGGGTCAGTGCACAGCAGTGGCTTCTAAACCTACTGTCTCGTAGCAAAGTCTGTGTTGATGATCAGGAACTGGATCTGCCACGGTCCTCTTTATTCCTTCTGTACAAATTCAAATATTTCCCAGGTAGCCAGGTGCCTCAGGCCTGAGAGGGGAAGCGCTACTTACCCAGAAAGGCTGAAGAGGAAAGCCCGCTAATATTTTTCAAGCTATTAATATTACCTGTTACCAAAATGATCACACACGTGATTAGTCACGATCGTGGTAAAAGTGCTGAAGAAAAAACCTAAGAGTAATGAGGGTGTAAGGAGAGCGGCCTGACCTAGCCCGGGGCTCAGGAGAGGTGGTCCTGAACCAGGGTTGGGTGAGGGGATCCAGAAGGAAGAGTAGGGTGGCTGGGTGAAGAGGGGAGTGTGTATGTGCATGTGTGAGCGTGTGTGTGAGTGCGCCATGTGTGCATATATGAGCACACGTGTGCATGTGTGTGCACGTGTGAGCATGCATATGCGGATGTGTGTGCTGTGTACATATGTGTATTATGTATATGTGAGCATACGTGTGCACATGTGTGTCTGTCCTGTGTGTGCACGTAAGCAGGTGCTGTGTGTGCACATGTGAACACATATGTGCATGTGTGCATGTGAATGCATGTCAAGTGCATGCGTGAGCTGTGTGTGGTGTGTGCATGTGTGTGTGGTGTGTGCATGTGTGTGTGCAGCCTCATCATTTCCCGAATTTTTTTTTTTTTTTGAGATGGAGTCTCATTCTGTCGCCCAGGCTGGAGGGCAGTGGCTTAGTCTTGGCTCACTGCAACTCCACCACCCGTGTTCAAGTGATTCTTGTGCCTCAGCCTCCCAAGTAGCTGGGATTACAGGCGCCCACTACCACACCCAGGTAATTTTTGTATTTTTAGTGGAGATGGGGTTTTGCATGTTGGCCAGGCTGGTCTTGAACTCCTGACCTCAAGGGATCTGCCCGCCTCGGCCTCCCAAAGTGCTGGGATTACACGCGTGAGCCACTGTGCCTGGCCATTTCCCCTGATTTGAGGCACTCCATTCTCTGAGTCTGGATTGCTGGGTGGGTGTGTGTGCGCACTGAGGAGAGTTAATCGGATTTTCTGAGGATGAAGTGCAAAGGCTGGGGCCTCTGCAGGAAGCAGCTTTGCCTGTTCATGGGAAGCAGCTTCTGGAGCCTGAGTGGTTGGCACCACCAGGGACTGCAGTGGTGGCAGCAGCAGGGGCAGGAGGAGGAAGGGCACTGTGTCCCCCATTAGGAATGTCCTCCTCTCTTTCCTGCTGGGCTCAGAGCTGAGAACCAGGATACAGGTGGCCAGGCGCCTCCGTCAGCAGACTCAGGGGCCTGGGCAGAGTCAGTTTCCCCACCTGTGCACAGGGGAGAAAGAGATCTGTCTCTGCCAGCAGGATGAGTGGACGGTTCTCCCTGGGCTGGCAGAGCAAGCCTCCGACTGAGGGCAGCCAGGGCACAGCAGGTCATACTCCCATGGCAGAATGATGCTGAGGTTCCCAGGGTGTCCCAAACACTCTTCCCACCCCCTGCCCCAGTCTCATGAGAGGGCCATGGACCCTGACACTGTGACTACCCTCTGCTAGTCAGGCAGACGCTAGTCACAGCGGCATCGAATCTCAGAAACAGCCATCGCAGTGGGCAGTATTAGTATCCCCTTTCCTCAGAAAGGGAAATGGAAGCTCAGAGAGGTTACGGAACTTACCCAGAATCACAAAGCAAGCATGTGTCCCACGTCTATGTGATCCCAAAGCCTTTGCTCCTCTGACTCCCACAGCTGCTGTGTGACTTTTCAGTTTCCTGAAAGGGAGAAGAAAACAATTTGCTGTAGAAAAAGCTTCAAGCCAGACTTCAGAAATGCCCAGAGCTGTGAGTTCAGTATCACAGCCCCTGCCCTCACCTCTCTGTGCAGTGGCCGCGCAGTGAGCTGAGCCACGGTGAGGGTGTGTTAAGAACTTAAAGCAGAAACTCGATTTTGAAATGTTCAAGGACAAGGCCAGAAAGGCTCCTTTGGGGATGGGGTGGAGGTTTCAGTCCATTTAAGTGGGCTGGAGGGGAATTTTAACTTTGCCGGCTGATGGTTAATGTTCCCTTCCCAAGGTATTCATGATTTATGCTGATGCTTTAAAAGAAAATTTAGCCAAGCTAGGTTCAGATTCCAGGAAACTAAGGACAAGGCTTTCAGGAAAGCTTTGTTTGGAGGGGAGGTTAGGAGGGATAGAAGAACACTCCAGATACCTCGCCTCCACTCACCCAAAGGAGAGGTCACCTTATCACATAAGACCGTAAGATAGCTCCCCAGGAGGGATCATGCTCCTAAGATGTTTCTTCCTACGTTCGAAGAAATGGGTGTCCAAGGCTGGGTGTGGTGACTCATGCCTGTAATCCCAGCACTTTGGGAGGCTGAGGCGGGTGGATCACTTGAGGCCAGGAGTTCGAGACCAGCCTGGCCAACATGGCGAAAACCCATTGCTACAAAAAATACAAAAATTAGCCAGGCGTGGTGGCACGTGCCTGTAGTCCCAGCTACTTGGGAGGCTGAGGAGGGAGAATCGCTTGAACCCAGCAGAGGTTGCAGTGAGCTGAGATGGCACCACTGCACTCCAGCCTGGGCAAGAGTGAGACACTGTCTTAAAACAAAAACAAAAACAAAAAGCAAGCAAACAAACAAAAAAACAAAGAAATGAGTGTCCTGGCTGGGTGTAGTGGCTCATGCCTGTAATCCCAGCACTTTCAGAAGTCGAGGCAGGCGGGTCACCTGTGGTCAGGAGTTCGAGACCAGCCTGGCCAACAGGCAAAACCCCGTCTCTACTAAAAATACAAAAATTAGCTGGGTGTGGTGGCACTCGCTTGTAATCCCAGCTACTCGGGAGGGTGAGGCAGAAGGATGGCATGAACCTGGGAGGCAGAGCTTGCAGTGAGCCGAGATTGCGCCACTGCACTCCAGTCTGGGCAACAGAGCAAGATTCTGTCAAGAAAAGAAAAGGGAAAGGGAAAGAGAAAGAAAAGAGGGTGTCCTTTCTCTGTATTCCAGGCCTCTTATCTTAGCTGAATTGAAGAAAAATGTGTATAAGGCCCTAGATATTCACTGCCATGTTAATAAACCCTTCCTTGGTATCCATTCTGGGGCCTGAATGGAAAAACGAAAGGCCCAGAATCTGGGCCTTGGGACTCAGCATTACAAGGGACAAGACCCTGATTTATACCAGCTTAAGCCAAGACGGGAATTTACTGGCTCATAAAATTTAGACGTCTGGGATTCAGTTTGGCTTTAGGTATAGCCGGATACAGTGAGGTGTGTGGAGATGGGGGCTTTAGGGCTGATTTTCCTTCACCTGGCTTGGAGGAGGTTCCTCGGCTGAACCAGTCATGGTGGCCAGAAGAATGTGGAGGTGACTGTCTGTGTTCTACTCCATGTAACTACGTGCACTGAACGTGCTGTGGGATCATTCACCATAAGAAACCCGCCCGGCAGTCGTGGAGGCTCACGCCTGTAGTCCCAGCACTTTGGGAGGCCGAGGCAGGTGGATCGCAAGGTCAGGAGTTAGAGACCAGCCTGGCCAACATGAGGAAACCCCATCTCTATTAAAGATACAAAAAATTAGCCCCGTGTGGTGGTGCGCACCTGCCATCCCAGCTACTCAGGAGGCTAAGGCAGGAGAATTGCTTGAACCCAGGAGGCGGAGGTTGCAGAGCACTGAGATCATGCCGCTTGTCTACAGCCTGGGCAACAGGGCAAGACTCTGTCTCAGAAAAAAAAAAGAAAAAAGAAAAGGGGTCTCTGAGCCAAGGTAGAGCCAAGTCAGCCAGGCAGGCCTAGGCTCCAGCAATCTTCTTGCCTCAGCCTCCTGAGTAGCTGGGACCACAATCACACATCACCACAACCAGCTTTTTTTTTTTTTTGTATTTTTAGTAGAGTCGGGGTTTTGCCATGTTGCTCAAGCTGGTCTTCAACTCTAGGGCTCAAGTGATCCTCCTGCCTCGGCCTCCCAAAGGGCTGGGATTACAGGTGTGAGCCACTGCACCCAGCCAGTATCATGGGTTTTTTTGTTTTGTTTTGTTTTGTTTTTTGAGACAGGGTCTCCCTCTGTTGTCCAGGCTGGAGTACAGTGGCATGATCTCGGCTCACTGCAACCTCTGCCTCCCAGGTTCAAGTGATTCTCCTGCCTCAGCCTCCCAAGTAGCTGGGATTACAGGCATGCGCCACCATGCCTGGCTAATTTTTGTATTTTTAGTAGAGACAGGTTTTTGCCATGTTGGCCAGGCTGGTCTCAAACTCCTAACCTCAGGTGATCCTCCTGCCCCGGCCTCCCAAAGTGTTGGGATTACAGGCTTAAGCCACCATGCCCGGCCGGGTTTCTTCTTTACCCCCTCTTTTTCACTTCACGGTAGACACAGCACCCTTTCCTAGTGAGCCCAAACACAGCCTCAGACTCTATCTCAACACTATACCCAAAGCAACCAGTATCTCCCACCTTGGCGTTGGAACCTGAGCCAAAACTTTTCATAATTCCTGCTCCAAGCAGATGGAGATCGAAAAGCGCACTCTGAGCGTTGAGTGATCTGCCCAGTGTCACAGGGAACTCAGGCACACAACCCTCCTGACTCAGCCAGCCCCCTTTCCTGTGGGATCCTGCCTGGTGTGAGCCTTGAAAGCAGGTCTGTCCCTCAGTAGAGATTTCCACTCCAGGCAGCAGCTGCACGTGCACATGGAGAAGAAACAGACTTGAGGTCAGAGCAAAGCCAACAGCGCGACTGCCGACCCAGCTCTCAGGGGTGGCACACAGACAGGCGGGAGGGCTCACGGCCTAGCAGCCACACTGTCCACCACAGAGATCTCACTGGGCTTCACGGTGTCCTACCTTAAATATTAGGTTGGTGCAAAAGTAATTGCAGTTTTTGTCCTTGAAAGTAATATGTTGGGACCAGGTGCGGTAGCTCACGCCTGTAGTCCCAGCACTTTGGGAGGCCGAGGCAGGTGGATCACATGAAGTCAGGAGTTCGAGACCAGCCTGACCAACATGGTGAAACCCCGTCTCTACTAAAAATACAGAAATTAGCCGGGTGTAGTGGCGAGCGCCTGTAATCCCAGCAAGTCAGGAGGCTGAGGCAGGAGAATCACTTGAACCCGGGAGGCGGAGTTTGCAGTGAGCCAAGACCACGCCACCTTTTCCTGAATGTGGTGATGCAACGTGTAAGCCCTTGCCAGAAGTCAGGGCCATCCCTTTAAATGTCTCAGCCTGCAGAATTATAAAATGAAAGGTCCGCCCGCCTCGGCCTCCCAAAGTGCTGGGATTACAAGCGTGAGCCACCGCGCCCGGCTGGAAATTTACTTCGGGGATGGGGATCAGGGTGGTCTTGGATGGTGGGACAAACGGCTGGCAGCAGTCTAGGGAAGCCAGAAAGTGGAGAGTAAATCCTGAGGTGGCCATGATTCTGCCAGCTCAGCTTTGCCCAATGAAGGGGAGAAAACAGGTGGCAGAGAGCCAGCCGCTTGTTTGCCATAGGAAGGCACTGAAAGGCTGTCCTGACCTCTAGGGGCCTCTTGTGATATGAGGATCATATCATTGTAGGATCATCATTGTAGGGAGGATCATATCATTGTAGGATCATCATTGTAGGGAGCTGACCTTGGGGTCATGTGCTCACCACGCCAAGACCTTCACATGCGTTATGCTGATTAGTATTCACAGAATAGCCCTGGGAGGCAGATGGAGTTATTCCCTCTGATCAGATGCTGCACTGGGGACTTGGAGAGGTGGAGTCGCACTGCCTGACCCTGGCTCTTAGCCACTGTGCCATACTCCACGGGCTGGCAGACACTGTGAAGCGGAACAGAACAGGGTATGTGAGTCACCTGACAATCATTAAGCACGTTGTAGCGAGCAGTAGGTCTGGGTAAGGTGCTGGGAGGCAGCATGCGGGAGTCCCAGCCTCAGGTCACTTGCTGAAGGACAGAGGTGCACTGGAGAAAATGTGGCCTCGGAGGCAGAATCACGTCAGTGAATACCTGTGTGACTCACTCAGTTGAGCTCAGGGCCTACAAACAGGTGCAGTCAGCAGTTTGAAAACTTTTTTTTTTTTTTTTTTGAGATAGTCTCTCTCTGTCACCCGGGCTAGAGTACAGCGGTGAGATCTTGGACCACTGCAACCTCCCCCTCCCCGGTTCAAGTGATTCTCCTGGCCTCAGTCTGCAGAGTAACTGGGACTACAGGCATGCGCTATGACACCTGGGTAATTTTTATATTTTTGGTAGAGACGAGGTTTCACCATGTTGGCCAGGCTGGTCTCGAACTCCTGACCTCAAGTGATCCACCCGCCTGGGCCTCCCAAAGTGTTGGGATTACAGGCGTGAGCCACTGTGTCCGGCCTGAAAACTTCTTGTCTAGCACAAACTCCCATTGTACACGTGAGAAAGCTGAGGCTCGGAAAGAATTGACTTCCCCCTTGTCACCATGGCCAGAGAGTGGTGGGATCAGGACTGGGATCCTCCCTGGGGTCCTGGTCCAGTGGATACCCCTGTGGGTCCAGAGAGAAGGTATGAACTGTGATGGAAGGGCAGTGGTGGGCCACCTGAGAGGAGGGTCCTGGGTGGGCACAGACATCCAGGCACACCAGATGGAGAACTAGCTTAGAGCACTGTGTCTTGCTGTCTGCAACAACTCCCTAGGGGAGGGATGACAGCGGTCACGGCTGCACCTGTGAAGTCCACCACCTGGGCTCCAACCTGGCCCTGCCACTCTCCAGCCAGTGGCTCTGGGTGAGTCATGTCACCTGCCTGAACCTCCTGGACCTCAGCACCTTCCTCTCAAGTGACATTATCCCATAGCCCATTGCCTGGTCCTTAGTGCCCAATTTCACCAATATGACCAATTATGACTGCATATTTATTTACATTTGGAAATTTACTTTTTATTATTTATTTATTTATTTTTTGAGACGGAGTCTCGCTCTGTTGCCCTGGCTGGAATACAGTGGCGCAATCTCGGCTCACTGCAAGGTCCGCCTCCCGGGTTCACACCATTCTCCTGCCTCACCCTCCCGAGTAGCTGGGAATACAGGCTCACGCTCAGCTAATTTTTTTGTATTTTTAGTAGAGACGGGGTTTCACCATGTTAGCCAGGATGGTCTCCATCTCCTGCCCTCCTGGTCCGCCCGCCTCGGCCTCCCAAAGTGCTGGGATTACAAGCGTGAGCCACCGCGCCCGGCTGGAAATTTACTTTTAATTCCTTTTGGCTTTCCCCTTTTTTGAGGGCTCCTTCTTTAGAGGGTCCTGCCCTGGATGAAGACAAAAGCAGACACTCCCAGGTAGTCTGGGACACACCCACGCCTCCCGTGGGTCTGGAAGTGGCTGGAGGAAGAGTGAGTCTGTGGCTGATCCTTTTCCTCATCAGGAGTCAGCTCCTTGGAGCCTCCAGGGATGTCTGGAGCAGCTGCTGATTGCGGAACCAGCTGGAAGGGAAATTAGAGGGCAGATGTGGCCACAGTGGAGGCTGCAGCAGTCAGAGCTTCCCCACAGTGTAGTGGGACAGGTGCCACGCCTGGAGCCCCTCAGCCCCATGTTCAAATCCCAGCATCGTCACTGCCTGCCTGTGGAGTGGATGTGATTCCTCCCATGGTCAGCTGAACTGGCTATGGACAGCAGCTGTCCCACGCGGGAGCCCAGGGGAAATGGAAAACATCTCCGCCCCAGGCCAGCTTCCCCTTCTCTCCCAGGCCCCGACCTGCCCTTTAGACTCAGGAGTCCCTGCTTCACCCTTTGTCCGGAACCTTCAAGAGACAACACAACTCTGATAACAGCAGTTCTGAGGCTGAGAAGGGGTTGTCGTGGGGACAGCGTGTTCCTGCAGCTAAGCCTTAGCCTCTTTGCCTCTCCTCAGAATGCTTCAGCCCAGGAAAGGGGAACTTGTCACTTGGGACTTGCAGGGACACTGTTTTGAATGTAAACTCTCCCAAAGAGCCTCTGCCTGCTTTAGGGAGGAATGTTTGTTTGGGTTCTATGAATCAGAAACCTACTCTACCAATTTCAGGTTTAAAAAGGATGGGTCATGAGGCTATGGAGATGTTTCTCTTGGTTATTAAAAATATGTTAGGCTGGGTGCGGTGGTACATGCCTGTAATCCCAGCACTTTGGGAGGTAAAGACAGGAGGATTGCTTGAGCCCAGGAGTTGAAGACTGGCCTGGGCAACATAGTGAGACTGTGTCCCTACAAACCTACAATTTTTTTTTTTTTTCAGACGGTCTCGTTCTGTTGCCCAGGCTGGAGTGCAGTGGCATGATTTTTGCTCACTGCAACCTCTGCCTCCCGCGTTCAAGCGATTCTCCTGCCTCAGCCTCCCAAATAGCTGGAATTATATGCATGCACCACCACGCCTGGCTAATTTTTGTATTTTCAGTAGAGATGGGTTTTCACCATGTTGGTCAGGTTGGTCTCGTACTCCTGACCTCAAGTGATCCGCTCACCTCGGCCTCCCAAAGTGCTGGAATTACAGTCATGAGACACTGCACCCGGTGTCTTTTTTACAAAATTACAAAATTTTGTTTTTTAAATTAGCCAGGTGTGGTGGTTCCTGTAGTTCCAGCCACTTGGAGGGCATAAGTGGGGGGTACTGAGGCGGGAGGATCCCTTGAGCCCAGGAGGTCGAGGCTACAGTGAGCTGTATTTGTGCCACTGCACTCCAGCCTGGGTGACAGAGCAAGACCCTATCTCAAAAAAAAAAAAAAAAAAAAAAAGTTAAATCCCAGAAAACCCAATGACACTAATTTAAAGGAAGATTTGTTGGTTCATGTAACAGAAAGTTCAGGGGTAGTGCTGTGATTTGGGGGTGTCTGTCTCCAGCAAAACTCATGTTGCAATTCGATCCCCAATGTGGCAGTGATGGGAGTCGGGGCCTAGTGGGAGGTGTTTGGGCTATGGAGGTGAATTCCTCATGAATGGCTTGGAAGTGCCACCCTCTCACTAGTGAGTGAGTTCTTGCTGTCACTCTCGTGAGACTGAATTGGTTCTCCATCTAACCCATTGCTGTGAGAGTGGGTTATTATAAAGCCATGATGACCTTCAGGTTTTCCCCTGTTTTGCAGTCTCCCTTCTGTTTTCCCTTTTCCTGAATGTGGTGATGCAACGTGTAAGCCCTTGCCAGAAGTCAGGGCCATCCCTTTAAATGTCTCAGCCTGCAGAATTATAAAATGAAATAAGCCTCTTTTCTTTATGCATTACCCAGTCACAGGTATTCTTTTATAGCAACACAAAACAGACTAAGACAAGTAGAGTGAGTTTCAGGTGAAGCTTGATCCAGCCACTTAGCTCTATCACTGGGATCCAGAATCCCACAGTACCCGCTCCTCTTTCTATATGGATGTACTCCCAGAATGACCACCCCACATCCAGGTATCCATAACCTTTTAACTCAAGTAGCTGAACCAGCAGGAACATCCTGTGTCTCTTGATCCACATTTCTGAGGGAGGGAATCCAGTACCCAGGCTCATCCTTTTGGGGCATGCATCTGAAGTCATGTTTGTGGCCAGTGAGTGAATGGTCTCTCCTGGGTCCGGTGTCCGTAGCTTGCTCAGTCATCAGTGGCCAGACCATGTGGGTCACATGCCTCCTCCACCTCCTTAGAGACAGGGTGTCTGAGAAGGGGTCACAAATAGGTCAGTCACCCCAATACCTCCCCAGAGAAGTCAGGACTCAGCTGGTGAGTCTCCAAGGACCCCGTAACTCCTCCCTGGCCTGGAAACCACCCAAAGAGGCCTATTTTGGTCTTAATTTGTAATTTGGGGAGAATTTTAAGTTTGGTTCTGGTTAGAATTTTTTTTTTTTTTTTTTTTTTGAGTGTTTTTGTTTTTGTATTTTTAGTAGAGACAGAGTTTTGCTCTTGTCACCTAGGCTGGAATGCAATGGTGCAATCTCGGCTCACTGCGACCTCTGCTCCCATCCGCCTCCCAGGTTCGAGTGATTCTCCTGCCTCAGCCTCCCGAGTAGCTGGGATTACAGGTGCCTGCCACCATGTCCGGCTAATTTTTGTATTTTTAGTAGAGACGGGGTTTTGCCATGTTAACCAGGCTGGTCCTGAGCTCCTGACCTCAGGTGATCCACCCCCGTCAGCCTCCCAAAGTGCTGGGATTACAGTCGTGAGCCACCACACCCGGCCCTGGTTAGAATTTTTATGCCTGGGTATTTCCTGATGTTTTGTTTCTGGTTCATTCAGGAGGAGAAATTCACACTTCGGTTCAGGAAATGGTTTTCATCACTGTCCCCAAGAAATCGGCCAACAAGTACACGTGTCCACCATGAGGTGGAAAACCCAGAATCATTTTCAGATGGCTGTTAACCAGCGGCAGGATGGCTTCTGCAAGCAAACGCTGTATTATTATTTTTTTTATTTCATACCAGGAAAAGGGTTTTATCTTCAAAACAATGTATCCACGTCACTAATCGGTCTGGAAGAACTTGTTTGGCCAAATTTAGAACCCACAATAAGGTCAGAGAGAATAAATTTAGAACTGAACTCTGAGCTGTCAGGGCCAGCAGTTCCTTTTGGCACTGTGTACTTGCTAACTCCATCTGCCACCTTGAGCTTGATTGTATTTCCCCTTTACCTCCCAGGTCCACCAGAATTTGCAGGATAACGTAGCCTTGGAGAGTAAGACCTGGCATCTAAACCTGTCTTCACCATTTAGAAGCTGTGTGACTCTAGGAACGTGTTTCACCTCTCTGAGCCTTAGTTTCATCATCTTTTAAAGAAGGATGGAGGTAATAATAACATCTTATAAAATAACACGTTGCAAAGATTGATTAGAATTTTTTTTTTTTTTTTCTTCTTGAGACAGAATCTTGCTCTGTTTCCCAGGCTGCAGTGCAGTGGGGCAGTTACAGCCCACTGTAACGTTGATCTCCTGAGTCTAATCAATCCTCCCACCTCAGCCTCCTGAGTAGTAGGCATGTGCCACCACACCTGGCTAATTTTTAAAAATTTTATTTTGTAGAGATAGGATCTCACTCTGTTGTCCAGGCTGGTCTTGAACTCCTGGGCTCAAGTGATCCTCCCAGCTTGGTCTCCCAAAGTGCTGGGATTACAGGTGTGAGCCACCTCTCCCAGTTCAACCATTCTGATTTCTGTCTCTGAATTTGAGTACTCTAGGAACCTCATATAAAAGGAATCGTACAATACTTGTCCTTGTGTAATGGGCACGTTGTCTTAGCATAATGTCTTCATGGTTCATCCATGTTGTCACATCGGTCAAAATTTGCTTCCTTTTTAAGGCTGAATAATATCTCCTTGCATATATACACACCACATTTTGTTTATCTATTCATTTGTCAGTGGACATTTGGGTCTCTTGCACCTTTTGGCTATGATGGATAATATGGCTGTGAATATAGATGTACACATATTTGTTAGAGTCCCTGCTTTTGCTTCTTTTGGGTATATACACAGAAGTTTGATTAAGACATTTTATGGAGGCTGGGTGTGGTGTCTTACACCTATAATCCCAGTACTTTGGGAGGCCGAGGTGGGAGGATCACTTGAGCCCAGGAGTTTGAGACCAGCCTGGGCAACAAACTGAGACCCTGTTACTGCGAAAAAAAAAAAAAAAAGATGTAGAGAAGAGTATGATGGTTAAAAGCCAGCAATCGGGTGGTGCACCTGTAGTCGCTAGCTACTTAAAAGGGAGGCTGATGCAGATAGGGATCCCCTTGGAGCCCAAGATGTCGCTATATGTGTGCGTTGTGTAGAGAAGTATGGATCGCGATCCACTGCACTCAAGCCTGTGGTAACAGGTTAAGGGGACCCTGTCTCTCTCTTAAAAAATGAAAAAGTATTAACACCTATGTTTTGGCGGCATTTTTTTATTAGTAAACGCTTTCATTAACAGACATAGTTCGTAGAATAGAAAAAACCCAGTATGAGGAAAGAATTACTGGGGGAATTTGTTAAACGTGGCATGATTAAGAATGAGATGTCATTTTTTGCCTTGTTCAATTAACAATCAACTAAAAAGGTAATTAATCCCCCAATGCAGCTGGGGATTTGGTGGTAAGATGGGTCCTCTCTCTGCTTTTTTTTTTGAGATAGAGTTCTCCAGCTCTGTTGCGGCAGGCTAGGATGCAAGCAGGGTGGTTGACTTGGCTCGCCAACTGCACCACCACCTGCCTTGGGTTCCAAAGCAATTCTCCTGCTCAGCCTCCCGAGTAGGCTGGGGGATTACAAGGATTTGTGCCCCACCATGCGCTGGCTTAATTTTTTTATATTTCTTAGTAGGAGATGAGGTTTGTTGCCATGGTTTGGGCCAGCTAGCTCGAACTCCTGACCGCTCAAGTGATTCCCGCCTGCCCAGGCCTCCTAAAGTGCTGGGATTATAGGCTGAAACCGCACCACGGGCCTGGGCCTCTTTCTTTGCTGTTGTGTGGAGATGGGTTCTCACTATGTTGCCAAGGGGCTGGTCTTGGTATACTCCTGGGCTCAAGCGATCCTTGCGCCACCTGGCTCCCAAATGGTTGGGACTATAGTATGAGGCCAGCCCTCGCGTTGGCCGATAGGGTTCTTCTTCGATACCAGCCATCTGGTAAGTAATCTTTCTAGAAAGGGCAACGCTCTGCAGTGTCTACAAATTATTGTATACAGTAAGGCTCTTTGGAAGTGATCATACTATTTTGGATCAATCATTTGCCCGTTTTTGTTGAACTCTTGAGATATCACCTCAATAGGATTTTTTGAGTGCCTCGTATTTATTCCGTTTTTTCTGTTATTATATGTCTTCTATTTTGCGCATAGGACCAAGATTTCGGTCTAGGGAGGATGTTTATCACAGCAATTCTTTATAACTATGTGGAAGCAAAACCTTCTATTTCCGCATCCCATAGGAAACGGTTAAAAAACTAAGTTATGGACTATTGTTGCAAGTCATTAGAAATGCTTGGCTGGCCACAAAGTTGGCTCATGCCCTGTTAATCCCAGCCACTTTGAGAGGCCAAGCGTTTGTCGGATCACGATGGTCGGAGATCGAGGACCTCCCTGGCTAACATGTGTGAATAACCCCGTCTCTACTAAAAAATAGAAAAATTACCCAGGTTGCTGGGGCACCTGTAGTTCCCAGTCTACGGCGGGGAGGCTGAGGCAGGGAGAATGGTTTGTTGAACCCGGAGGCGCGGGATGCTTGCAGTGACTCGAATGGCATCAACACTACGTGCACTCAGCCTGGGCAGACCGAAGATGGCGAGATTCCGTGCTCAAAAAAAAAGGAAAACTGCTTACGAGTTGACGGGCGCTGGTTTGGCTCACGCCCTTGTAATCCCAGCACTTCTGGAAGCCAAGGTGGGTGGATCACGACGGTCATGGAGTTTGAAGCCAGCGCTGACCAATGTGGGGTGGAAAACCGCAAGTCTCTACTAAAAGTACAAAATTAAAAGCCGGGTGTGGTGGCGCGGGATGGTCCTTGTAATCCCCAGCTACTTTCAGGGGGAGGGCTGAGGGCAGGGACGATTCAGTTTGGAACACAGACAGGAGTTTTTGAGGGACCGCCGGCCTGGGCAACACAGCAAGACTCTGCCTCTAAAATGAGGCAATGAAACAGGAAACTGTATACACTATATTGTTTTATGAAAAAGAGATAAATATTGTATATATTTCTCCTATAAAATAGGTACTGTTTGCATTTACTGTTGCTGAACCTTCACTAAGCTCTATATATACTTTCTCTTGTTTACTCCTCCCAACAATCAAAGAGGTAGGTACTATTGTTACACCATTTTACAGATGAGGAAACAGAGGTTCCAAGTGGTAACATGATTCTCAGGGTTCACAGCCAGCAAATAGCAGAGCTAGGATTCAAACCCAGGCCCTTCAACTCCAAAGAGTATGAAAGAAGAGGACAGCCTGGCCAACATGGTGAAACCCTGTCTCTATTAAAAATACAAAAATTAGCCGGGCATGGTGATGTGGGCCTATAGTCCCAGCTGCTCAGGAGGCTGAGGCAGGAGAATCGCTTGAACCCAGGAGGCAGAGGTTGCAGTGAGCCGAGATCACGCTACTGCACTCCAGCCTGGGCAACAGTGAGACTCTGTCTCAAAAAGGAAAGAACAATTCTGCAGTCAACCCTAACCTAACCATAGGAGTGATTTTTACTTTCTTCTTCATAGTTGTCTGTATTTTTTTCCCAAACTGGGAGGAGGTAGAGGGAGCAATTTACTAGATAAAAAGGGAAAGAAAGAAAGAATTGCTAGTTTCAAGCAGGCATCTTTGAAGATAAAACATGAAGGTCTCGTGCCTCATGCCACGAACTCAGTTCGTGTTCATCTTTTTTCTGGTTAAAGAAGAGCAGAGTGTCCTGGCTGAGTCTTTTGGCTGATTACTTAATAATGGGAGGGTGTGCTGTGGACACACACACACACACACACACACAGCCCACGCCAACCGAGACAGGAGGGAGACAAAACCCAGCAGTAGCCAAAACTCTGCTAGATCGATGCAGACTGTTACAGGCACAGCTTTCCAAAAAGCAGAGCTCAGTGAAATAAATATTTTTCCTGTGAGAAGAGGCTTAAGTCGGCGATCTTAACAACCCCCCAATTCATTCCAGATCCACTCAGAGCAGCTGGCGTCAGCGGGCCCATCTTGATACACTTAGGTTTGCTTGCTAACTGCAGTGAGCCCGTGTGTCTGGCTGCTTTCACCCACTGGGCTGTGTGCCCTGGGGCACTGGGCAGGGGGGCAAGGAGGAGTTTGTCCCTGGGGAACCCTCTTCCCACTCCCTCTCAGCTCCCCACAACTTCTGAGGGTTTCTCACTTTTTTTTTCCCCCTGTAAAACCACTATTTAATCTAAACTGGAGGCCTGAGAACTCAACCTCTTCTTGGCAAAAGGCTCCATTCTCTTAGTCCTGGAGACAATATGCAGGAAGAATGTACAGTCAGGGACTCAGGAAACATACAAATGGAAAGTCTGGGTTACCTCAAAAAGCGGGAGCTTCACTACCCAGGGAGAAATTCATTGATTGGTTCATTTACAATGGTTGGCTGGGTGCAGTGGCTCATGCCCATAATCCCAGCACTTTAGGGGGCCGAGTTGGGCGAATGGATGGCTTGAGGCCAGGATTTTGAGACCCGACTCGGCAACATAGCGAAACCCCATCTCTACTAAAAATACAAAAAGTAGCTGGTGTGGTGGTGCATGCCTGTAGTCCCAGCTACTCGGGGAGTTGAGGTGGGAGAATCACCTGAGTTTGGGAAGTTGAGGCTGCAGTGAGTGGTGCTGGCGCCATTGCATACCAACCTAGGGGAAAGATTGAGATGCTGTCTCCAAACAAACAAACAAAAACTGCCAAACATGCAAAAACAAAGCAATGTTTAATTGAATCACCTCCTAAGTGTAAGATGTGGAATAAAGCTGATATAAGAGAGGACAAAGCCACTGGAGATACAGATTCATTCATTCATCTATCCCTCCATTCATTCGTTCATGGAAATTTACTGAGTGCGTCCTATATGTTAGGTCGTCTCCTCCTAGTGCTGAGGACTTAGTAGTGAACCACGCAGACAAAAACCCTGCCTCCTGGGTGGGTCATGAGGTCAGGAGTTCGAGACCAGCCTGGCCAACAGAGTGAAACCCCGTCTTTACTAAAAATACAAAAATTAGCCGGGCGTGATGGTGGGCACCTGTAGTCCCAGCTACTTGGGAAGCTGAGGCAGGAGAATCAATTGAACCCGGGAGATGGAGGTTGCAGTGAGCCGAGATCGCGCCACTGTACCCCAGCC